TTGGATAGAGTTTGTAAGGTAAATTTCTGATAGGCTAGTTTGGTTCATAGCATTTCTTTTATTCAAATTAACAGTGAAAACAGCTCTAATCGTTCATAGCACTATTTCTCAAACTGTGATGAAAGACCAGATTTTAAAAGTTTTCTAATATGTCACAGAATATGTATACCTAATGGTCATGGTGAACATGCAACTCACATCACATGTGAGGTCCCACACAGATTTGATAAACCCTAACTAATCTATACTGTGAATAAGTCTGCTGATCACCCACTTAGATGTTGTAGCAATATCAAGTTGCTATAAAAGTTTCTTCCTTTCAGTTTCTGTATTTATATTGTTGGGGACTGGTAACAGTTTGTTGATGGTTTTCAGTCCATGGACCACACATTTAGAAGCACTGATTTAGGAGGTTTTGCATATAATTTTGTTTTATGGTTTTTGCCTGATTAATGTGGTAAAGGTAGTGTGTAATCTGTATTCTTTTTTTTTAATTCTTTATTGTTGAAAGTATTACGTATGTCTCCTTTTCCCCCCATTGACCTCTCACCGGCTGTTCTCACCCCCCAGGATATGCCCTCATCCCCCTACAGTCTGTGACCATGGGTTATGCTTATATGCATGCATATAAGTCCTTTATTTTTGTTCATCAATTTATGTTGTTCATTATATCCCACAAATGAATGTGATCATGTGATATTTACCTTTTTTCGACTGGCTTATTTCGCTTACCATAATGCTGTCCAAGTGCATCCATGCTATTGCAAATGGTAAGAGTTCCTTCTTTTTTACAGCAGCATAGTATTCCATTGTGTAGATGTACCACAGTTTTTTCATCTACTCATCTGCTGATGGGCACTTAGGCTATTTCCAAATCTTAGGTATGGTAAATTGTGCTGCTGTGAACATAGGGGTGCATATATCCTTTCTAATTGGTGTTTATATTTCTTGGGATATATTTCTAGAAGTGAGATTACTGGGTCAAATGGGAGTTCCATTTTTCATTTTTTGAGGAAACTCTATACTGTTTTCCACAGTGGCTGCACCAGTCTGCATTCCCACCAGCAGTGCACGAGGGTTCCTTTTTCTCCACATCCTTGCCAGCACTTGTCGTTTGTTGATTTGTTAATAATAGCCATTCTGACCGGTGTGAGATGGTACCTCATTGTTGTTTTGATTTGCATCTCTCAGATGATTAGTGACTTTGAGCATGTTTTTATATGTCTCTTGGCCTTCTGTATGTCCTCTTTTAAAAAAGTGTCTATTTAGATCCTTTGTTCATTTTTTTATTGGATTGTTTATCTTCCTTTTGTTAAGTTGTATGAGTTCCCTACAAATTTTGGAGATTAAAACCTTGTTGGATATAACATTGGCAAATATGTTCTCCCATGCTGTAATCCATATTCTTAAAAGACAACATAGCCCAGCTGACCTGGCTCAGTGGTTGAGCATCAACCTATGAATCAGGAGGTCACACACAGTTTTTTGATTCCTGGTCAGGGCACATGCCCAGGTTGGGAGCTCGATCCCCAGTAAGGGTCGTGCAGGAGGCAGCCAATCAATGATTCTCTCTCATCATTGGTGTTTCTATTTTTCTCTCCCTGTCCCTTCTCTGAAATTAATCCTATATAATAAAAGCCTAATATGCTAAGTTTCCGGTCAACCGGTCGGCCGTTCAACCAATCAAAGCAGCATATGCTAATGATATGCTAAGGCCGCTCAACTGCTCGCTATGATGTGCACTGACCACCAGGGGCAGACAGTCAACCGGTCGACCAGTTGCTATGACGTGCATTGACCACCAGAGCGCAGATGCTCCGACTGGTATAGCTTGCTGCTGGGGTCCAGCTGATCGGGACTGAGCGAAATGGGCTGGACATGCCCTGGAGCCCTCCCACAGTCCCTCCCCAGCTGGCCAAACTCCTGCGTTTCTCCCTGCCCTGATCGTGCACTGGTGGGTCCCTCAGCCTGGCCTGTGCCCTCTCACAATCCAGGACCCCTTGGTGGATATCTGAGAGCCGGTTTTGGCCCGATCCCGCAGGCCAGGCCAAAGGACCCCACTGGTGCACAAATTTGTGCACTGAGCCTCTAGTACAGTAGTACAGTGATGGTGAACCTATGACACGTGTGTCAGAGGTGACACGCGAACTCATTTTTTTGGTTGATTTTTCTTTGTTAAATGGCATTTAAATATATAAAATAAATGTAAAAAATATAAGTCTTTGTTTTACTATGATTGCAAATATCAAAAAATTTCTATATGTGACATGGCACTAGAGTTAAGTTAGGGTTTTTCAAAATGCTGACATGCCGAGCTCAAAAGGTTCGCCATCACTGCTCTAGTATATATATAAAGGTCCATTATAAATTAGTTTCTGTTCATTACAATTATTGGTAGTAGAAAATCTGTTTAGTAACTTGACTTAAATTTATAGCCTAATGGTGTGAAAAATGACTACTCTGAAACTCTTCAAATATTTGTTTATGACTCTGTGTGATCACTGAATATGCTTTATAATAATACTTACCTACAAGGGTCTCTTATCTTGACTTTCTGCTTTTAAAAATGTCTATTATACAGAGGTAGTGGTGGGAGAGGAAAGGTTATATAGATAATTTCCAAATCATGTTTAAAACAAAATGACCACAATGTTTAGATTATCCGGTGGCAATTAACCATGGTTTCAATAGGGATGTAGATCTAAGGGCTCTGTAATTATTCAGCTATTCCACACACCAGTCATTGTCAAATGCTGCCTAATTCTAAACTCAGGAGATAACAGTAACTATGTAGGATTCCCACTTCAATTTCTCCAACCCTGTAGCCAATTATTTATATACTAAAGGCCCAGTGCACAAAAATTTGTGCACTGGGGGGGGGGGGGGGTTGGGGCACCCCCTGTCACACTCAAGGCAGGGTCGATGGGGAGGTTGCAGCACCACCCCCTGTCACGCACAGAGCAGGGCAGATCAGGGGGGGGGGGCGCTGCCCCCTGTCACTCACAGAGCAGGGCCGATCAAGGGGTTGGGGAGCTCCCCTCTGTCACGCACAGAGCAGGGCCCATCAGGGGGGTTGGGGCTCCGTACCCTGTCACGCACAGAGCAGGGTCGATCAGGGGGTTGGGGAGCTCCCCCTTGTCATGCACAGAGCAGGGCCGATCAGGGGGTTGAGGAGCTCCCCCCTGTCACTCACAGAGTAGGGCCGATAGGGGAGTTGGGGCACATCCCCCCTGTCACACACAGAGCAGGGCGGATCAGGGGGTTGGGGCGCTGCACCCTGTCACACTCAGGGCAGGGCCAATGGGGAGGT